TTAACACCTGTGTGAATGTGGACACAACTAACTCTTTGGGGCGAGCACTGTGCCATGTCATATCTATTTAGACTGCAGCCTCTGAGTGCTCCAACAGCAACAAGAAGATACATTTATTTTTTATGCTGGGTTGCACACACTCTCTTTCTCTCCTTTTTTCCCCTTCATGGTTTAGTTTGTCTGTTGTACACTCCACTGTTTTCCACCAGTAAAATGAGTGTCTGGAAGCAAGGGGAGAAGGTAGCTAGTACAACCATTGACCCAAATAAAAACTATGGATCAGGACCTAAGAGGCTCTGCAAAATTCAGGAACTACTGCAAAGGGAAGATAATGCACAAGTAGCCAGAAGGCCTTAGGGAGAGTTCAGATTAGTGAGTTGATCACAATGCCGTCACTGGGAACATCAGAAACAATAAAGCTAGCGGAGAGAGCAAGGTACTGTATAAGGGCTGCCACAGCTTCAAAGAAAATATGTGATTCCAAAAGCTACTGGGAGACAGAAATGTTGTGTGACTACTTCCTCCCATACATCCCATGCAAATATGCTGCTTGCAGAGGCATTGTGGCTGCACTGACTAGTCATGCTTTCTGCTCCTTCTTTTGCAAAGACTCTTCAGACGCTCCTATTTGCTCCTATTTCTTGGGCTCTGCAGGACCCCCCATTTTTGGAGCAACTTGGCCTGAGTGCTTAGTTTGTTTAAGGCAGCACTGTAACATCCATGCAGTAGAGGCAGGGGACAGGGAAGAGTCATCATTGTGTATGCGGGTTTTGTTTTTGTTTTTTTCCTGTTAAGAACAGGACAACTGAGGGTACTTCACTCTGAGATGACCACATCAGTCAAGCAGTTTTACTTGTTGGGAAACTCAGCCACAGACAACCCTGGTATAGCACAGCTCAGGGAATGAACAGTCCAATCTGCACACTTGCGCAATTACACTGATAGATCATGCTAAACCAACCTGATCTTCTTCTTTGAGAAGGTAACAGATTTTCTAGACAAAGGAAACGTAGTGGATCTAATTTACCTCAATTTAAGTAAGGCATTTGATACAGTTCCACATGGGGAATTATTAGCTAGATGATCATAATGGTCCCTTCTGACCTTAAAGTCTATGATTCAATCAAAAAGAAAGGTTTTAAGAGAGTTAACATATAAGCGATAAAGATAGAAAAGGTTACAAACAAACAAAAGTAAATATACACTTTCTAATGGTTAAGACCTAACTTAGCAAGCTACAGTCTTTGTTCAAGGTAGTTTACTCACCAGCTTTCCTTTCCCAGTAATGGCAGACTAGCTCTTAGCCCGAATCCCCAGAAAGTCCAAGTTTCTGTCTTCCCAGGTGAAGGGTAACTCAGTAGCTCTCTGCCCCTCTCTCTATAGATACAGGGTGGGTGAGGTAATTTTTTTTTTATTGGCCCAACTTCTGTTGGTGAAAGGGACTAGTGTTTGTGCTTACACAGAGCTCTTCTTCAGGTCTGGTCTCTCTTTATAGTCCAGTAAACCTTTGAAAAATCTCTCTCTCTCAAAGTTCAATGACCCTGCGTCAAGAGGCAGGATGGTTTCCTGGGGGTGCAGTATCTATCCCCCATTGAGAGTGTTCAATAATCACTTTTCCCTCCTGATAGCTCTGTTTGCTTGGCATGCAAATGTGTTTTTCTTTGTCTTTGGTCACACCTTGCTCAATTTACTTGGGGGAGACATTTAAGCAGGCAGAACCACATTCCTTTATCTGGAAAAAAAACTGTATATCAACTCCTCTTCACATGCCTGCTTTAAACACATTTTAGTCATAATTCCGGCACATCTGTATAATCCTTTGTAGGTTGACCATACATCCATCACACAAGGATAGTAATGATCAGTGATTTATTAGTGTTCCAATGGCATAGTACATGACACCTTTTGGGTATATATCAAGACAATAGTGTGTTAGGTGTAGTGAGTATGTCAGGCCTGGCAAGAGTTACTCTCAGAGTAGTGAATCACCAGTGGATCTCTGGGTCACATCTATATTCCTGTATCTGTAGAGGTAGACAGAATTTAACTTCTCCTTAGATGGAGTGCCAAATTCTAATTGCAGTTATACCAGCTTCCATCCAGAGTGACTCCACTGAAGTTAACTGAGTTATTTTGGATTGACACAGGTGTATGGGAGTGCAGAACACCGTCCACAAGCACTGCATTTTTGCAAAGTACATTTTTTTTAACGTAACATGAGACCTCCACTGCTAAAGAAGATACAACCACATTTTCTCACTGTGAGTTGTTTGCCTCCGAAGAAGCTAGACGCCAGCACAAAAGTAGAGAAAATAAAATAAAAGCATGTCATTGCCACCCTGAGGATCACTTCATATTTCATAAGCGTTTTTATCCTAACATCAATATTCTCACCAATAGCCATTGTAAACCTTACCATGCTAAAAGAATACTGATATCATTATTTCTCTCTCTCTAACACACACGCACGCACACGCACAGGCAGAATAAAGCCCAAAACACACTGATGCTTTTATTCCATAAGAAAAGCTTTATATAAATACCAGCAGTTACTCCACATATTGGATGACTGTCGAGCTTTTAGGTAAATATTTTCTGCTACTGAACTAATGTCATGCGTGACATGCTTCTCCAGTTAAGATTAGTTTGCTAAAGCTGGTCAAAGAAATCTATATGTACTCATATTCCCTAGTTGCTGGGGGGCCTTACATTTTGACTGTAACCATGGTGCTGCTGGATTTATCATGACTGCATGGCACAATGTGTGTCTCATCATTCTTTCCTGGCAGCTTTGTACAGCTTTTATTTAGCTGTAAAAATAATTTACATTTCGTGAGCATCTGAATTAAAGATAAACTAGAACTATGACATCCAGGGATAGATACTTTTATGCAAATTTATTTATAAAACAAATCATATTTAGAACATAACATCACACCAATGTCTTCTTCAGACAGCTTGTCTCTTTTTACAAATATTTAAATCTTTCTTATGGGGAACAATATATTAAAGTATAATGTATACATTTGCCATGCAAATGGAAATACAGAAGATGAACAATTCTCAGTGGTTATTTACATCAATGAGTAAAATTTGGGAAGCTGGGTTAGTCACAGGTTTGGTTATGGGGTTAGGAGTTTTTTCACCATGACAGCATTGATTTGAATGTTTTCCAGGTCAGTAGTGACTATCCTGGCCCCATTGACTTCAGTAGGGGGGCAGGATTTCACCCCTAGTACACACTAAGCTGCTTTGTGGCCTATATGACATGCATTGTTATTAGTTCAGTTGCTGGGGGTCAACAATCCACATCACAAACAGCACCATCACCTTTACTCTAGTGCCATTATCATCTGTGACAACTTACCTGACACTTTCTATCATCAGGACATTTCAATAAAAAACTATGTCCCTTTTAAGTATGCCTGTATCTCTTTTCAGGATCATGACCTATATATGCTATTTGCCACTCACTCCAACTATTGTGTTGCTCAATTACTCCTTAATACAACTACTGCAAAGAGTCAAAAACTCTTTTATATTCTAAAACATCATAAATCACAGTATTTTGCACTGTGTTCCAAATGTTCAAAAATGGTTCGTTTTACAAAAACAATAAAATGAAAAAAAAAACAAACAAACCAGAATTTTGGCTGATAATAAGGCTATTATGAGTACACAATGTAAAATTTTGAAATTTGATTTGAAAATAGGCACAATTTAAAATCTTACAGGTTTTTGGTACAAAAATATGAATTTCATGAAATTACTAAAAAATGAAAACTTGAGCTGAGAAATGACTGGAAAGAACTAAGAAAAAATTCCACCTGAATGTCACGAAATCATTTTTTTCAGTTTCATCAGACTTTTCCTTCTGATCTTTTCACTCGGTCGCTTTTATGTTATCTCATTTCTACATGGTCTCTATTTCTTGATTTGTGTCCAAAAAATTCTACAGTTAGTTTCTTGAGTTCCCATAAAGCATAAGGCTGGTGTTTGATCAATGGTTTCACTATAACACTCTTCCTGTTTGGTGACAGCAACATCTCATCCATGTCAGAAGCCTCGGCTATTTACCATCCTTTTGCAGCTGTGAACTCTCTGCTGTGTGAGTCCATTTTCACTGTATGTTACCCTAAAAAGGTACAGAGGATGCCATAGAATTGTTTTCCATTTCTAAAGAAAAATTGCAAAAATTCTAAATGGCAATAAAACACATCACAAATGTTGATATGTTTTCTTACTACAAATGTGCTCTGGCAAAGGCTGGACACTTGCACCACTACTCTGCTTCTCTTAGTCTAATGCTAATGCAAATTATCTCAATCTCAGAGGCAGGAGCATCTCAGAGGATGGATCATGCAGCACAATGTGCTCTTATGTTAGCGCTCCAGTAAATGGTGTTTGCCTGTGGCAGTGGGATCCTGTGAGAGTTGGAAGGAATACTATTGCTGTTAGGTTCCAGCTTTCTATCCAGACTGTTTTAGCTCAAATCAATGCTTGCCCTAGCCCAGTTTGTGTGGATGTATGCACTTCTAACTGCAGATACTAAAGAATAGCTGGTGATGCGAGTGATCCTGCTTTGGCTGATATGTCACAGGCTGTTCCTCTTTCATCACTCCCTTTGGCACTCTGACAAACGTTTTGTGCAATAACCTCTGTCGAATGCTGCAGGCAATATCATGCTCCGTCTTTAGCTCTGCTTCCGTGTTCAGACCAAATATTGCTCGTGAATCAGAAATAACACAAAATATTAGATCCCTTTTGGTTGGAAAGTATGCTCTGTTAGGTGTTTGCTGCACTGAAACTGTACAATCCACAAGTTCCCTGAACTCTTCAGCATCTGTACTTTATATACAAAGTTACTTAAGTCTCACAGTACTTTTGCCAATTGTGCAGAGAGCTTGTAGACAGATATACATTCTGCTGTATTTTAAGGTATGTTAAAATATTTTCCAATAGTATTGCATGCCAATATGCAGTCTGAGTTTTTCTCTTACCTGCCACATGAACCCTGTAGGTTTCTCCCTTTCTGCGCATAGAGCTGGGGGGACAACAACAGAACAAACTCTTACTTATTTGCAATTCCCACTTCTGCAGCTTGTCTGCCATCTTGAGGGATGGCCAGCAGCTGAAAAGTGCATCTGAGAGGATATTTGACTTTTAAAGATAATTTTTCATGGTAGGAGGCAATGATTCAGCAAATAATTATAGTAAGCAAGAACAATAACCAATGAACATTGTTTCTAAACAAGTCCTCTTCTATGCTTTGTATTTTTGCCTGTAAACTGTCATTTTACTAATCTGCAGGCAGAACTTTCTGCCTTGATTTTCTAAGGGCTTTCCTAAACACTGACATCAGTGATTGACAGGTGGGTTCTGCACCCCCCACATCCATCAGATTCGTGGAGACAGAAAACTTAGTGTGAAGATTGGTGAATGGGCAAATTGAAGTGAAAATGGCAAGAGTGTTAATCCACTCAGTAGGATTCCTGTCCCTTAACCATTCCTAATCTAGTTTGTCTTCTATCTTTAGATGATACAAAGGTGACTGAACAAGGAAAGAGGTAAAGGAGAAGCATGGGGAAAGATAGCAATTCAAGCTGAGGGACACAAATGGGACTACTTGCAGGGTAATTCAACCTGAGTAAGAGTGGCAGAATCTGGCCCTGAGTTATCATGATTCCATGTCTTCCAGCAACACAATCTCGCTACCATGTAAGTTCACCTCATGATTCCTACTCAATAGCAGCTCAAGTAGACTCAAGAATTTCATCACCTCACTTTTCACTTCCTTATAGTTATCATTACAGTGCTGAAAAGTGGGTTATTATTGCTTGTGTGTGTATAAAATTCGCTGTATGTATAAAACGTACCATTATATTAGAGAGACAAGGTGGGTGAGGTAATATCTTTTATTGGACTAACTTCTGTTGGTGAAAGAGATGAGCTTTCAAGTTTCCTTGTTGGTTTCCTTGGTCAGTGCTACAACAGGAGATCACTGTTTTTCACAACAGTTCTATTTTGTTAGCATTGCAGCACTGTTTGCCTGAATTTTCCTACTCTGAACCCTTTATCCCCTGCCTTGCAAAATCTCAGTTCTGAGAGAGCTACACTGAGCAATGTGTTTGCTGCTGCCAGATCTGCCTATGGTGCATTCTCTTTTCTTTTCAGTATCCAGGACATTTTAGGAGAACATTATCCTATCCAAAATATCTTCCTTTTTTAGTATTCTTAATCCATCCTTTCTGCTTTTGTTCATCATCCCCTCACTCAAAAGGATCAAAGATAAGTGTCTCTTAAACCCCTTTACACTGTTTGGGCCATTTCCTGTTAGTGAGACCCTCCTAATCCCCACCAACTTCAATGAGAGATCTGAGAACCAAATGATAGCAAGATATAGAACTTTGTTTCAATTGACTTTCCTGGGAACTCATTCCATGGGACCAATATCTACCTTCAAATTCATGCATGATTTCCATGGACACCAATGAGGCTTACACGGGCAAAAGTGAAGGACCACCTGGCCCTTTGTAAAATGTAGTTCTCCTAAATTCCTCATTTTATTCCTACTTTCCTGATTTTTACATTATGTTCCCGAGATTTTTTCTCCACTTCTTTACCTTTAAACTAGTCCTTTATCACTTTCAATTTTAGTTTTGTTTCTCACTTTGCTGTATAATATTGGAAAACAAACAATTATCTGACCATCTTCACTCAGACAGACTTTTTTTTATTAATTTGGTATAAACATATATCATTCAAAAATGAAGCTGAAACTACAGCTTAGACTCGGAGAGGAGATGGTTTCCTGATATCCATCAAGGTTCTGCAATATTCTTTTCCAGTTCTGTTTTTACCCAACCTTTTGCTGCTTACCTCTTTTTCTAAGGGCTGGTCCACACTAAGCCCCCAGTTCGAACTAAGATACGCAACTTCAGCTACGTGAATAACGTAGCTGAAGTCGAAGTACCTTAGTTCGAACTTAAAGGTACTTACTGCAGGTCCACACGCAGCAGGCAGGCTCCCCTGTTGACTCCGCCTACTCCTCTCACGGAGCAGGATTACCGGCATCGACGGTGAGCACTTCTGGGATCGATTTATCACGTCTAGACAAGACGCGATAAATCGATCCCAGAAGATCGATTGCTTGCCACCGAACCAGCCAGTAAGTATAGACATACCCTAAGTCCATCCTTTTGCGATAGTGAGTACAGCCAATCACAAGGGTATTCAGATCAACACTGAATGATGGCTTTTGACTTTCTGTCTATATTGTGTGACAGACCCAGACCAGTGGGGTACTGGAGTCTGGTAGAGGGCAAATATACTGGTCACTGGATGAGTAGTTTTCTGTTCCCTGAGTGACCAGAGCAGGGGCTGCACTAGAGTAATCAGGAACCTGCTAGAACCAGTTAAGGCAGGCAGGCTAATTAGGACACCTGAAGCCAAATAAGAAGAAGCTGCTAGAATCAATTAAAGCAAGCTAATCAGGGCACCTGGGTTTTAAAAAGGAGCTCACTTCAGTTTGTGGTGCGAGTGTGAGGAGCTGGGAGCAAGAGGCGCAAGGAGCTGAGAGTGAGAGGGTGTGCTGCTGCAGGACTGAGGAGCACAAGCGTTATCAGACACCAGGAGGAAGGTCCTGTGGTGAGAATAAGGAAGGAGTTTGGAGGAGGCCATGGGGAAGTAGCCCAGGGAGTTGTAGCTGTCATGCAGCTGTTACAGGAGGCACTATAGACAGCTGCAGTCCACAGGGCCCTGGGCTGGAACCTGGAGTAGAGGACAGGCCCGGGTTCCCCCCAAACCTCCCAATTGACCTGGACTGTGGGTTCTTCCAGAGGGGAAGGTCTCTGGACTGTTCCCCAACCCACATGGTGAATCTCTGAGGCAAGAAAATCTGCCAATAAGCGGAGGAACTTTGTCACAATTGAGACTCTCTGCTTTTAGTTTTCCTATAGCCGAGCTAAAACTAGATTTTCTGTTTCATATGAAATTCTGTGTCTTTGAATTTTTTTTGCTTCCAAAATAGAACAAAGCTAAAATATTTCAAAATTTCCCACAAAACAATTCATTTCAGATCAACTGAATGGTTTGTTCTGATAAAATCAAAATGTTTCATTCCTATGGACTTTTTACAAATTTTATATTGTATTATATAAATGTTTCACTCTCAACAAAACAGCATTTCCCAACCAGCTAGGCTAAGCATGTTTCACCATACAACAGCCAACACAGGATTTCTTTTCACAAATCCAATGTGGTGTTCAAAATGTTCCTATTTAGTTTTATATGGGATTTTTGGTTACAGCTCTAGGATGGCAAGTAGTTAATTTATCTGTAGCATTTCCAGATCCTGTATACCAATGTTACTTCATGTATTTTCATAACTGCCATTGACTTCTATAAGGCTAGGATTTCTCCCCACTTGCAGCAGTGTATGATCAGTGGGGAAAAGATTCTATTCTATCATGTCTATTTTTAAATTTCACACAACAATGAGCTTAAAGTACTTTTAACCAATTGCCTGAATCTTTGGCCAAGTCCACCTTACCTGTGAAAGATCCATGTCAGTCATGTAATAGTCTTTTAATTTTTCATTCATTTAATTTAGTCCATTGATAGAAATTATCTGTCAGCTTGTCTATTTCCAGTTACTACTAGACAATACCTCACAATTATAATTGTGGATTGGGTATGATGTTTGTTTTACTTCTTCATTAACAGTTACTACACACTAAGTAAATTTGTTTCCTTGACATGACACATCACTAACGCATGTGAAAAATGTAATTGGTTACATCAAACTAAAATTAGGAAATAACATTAGCTGTCTGTATTTATTTACACATGCAAAGTTCAGACATATCATCAGGAGTTACAATGCTGTGTTTCATTCCACCACAGATTTAGGGTTTACCTTTGGTTAAATGGAGACATTGGTTCCACGTTAATTTATAAGAGCTGGGTAAGACTGAAAAATGCCGTGATCTCCTGAATGTTATCACACAGTCGAGAGTTACATTGGCTTCCTTATTTGCTTGTAAAAAATGTTACTTCATGTTGGCTCAGGGCCTGATCTTGCAGTCTTCCACTGCAGTGGAAGATTTGGATGCTCAAGGAATAGAGATTCAGGTAAATGTTGCCCCTTCTATTACAATAAACATCAGATAATCACATTTGAATTTTGTTGTATTTTGAACTTTGTCTTCATGGAAAAAATCTTTCATCCGCACAGGATTTTATAGAAAGTACTTTTAAAAGGCCCTGTTGAATATAAACAAGAATTAGATATTTGCTATGTTTTTTTAACCATCCTACAGAATTCTATAAAAGGGAAATAATTCTCTATTAAATTCTATAGGACAGTTTAAAATACCTATACAAAGGTTATCATTTCTGATCGAATTCTGGACACTTTTCAATAAGGGTATAATTCAAATTTCTTTTATCATATGTACAGTACATTTTTAGCCATTTATTGTTTCATCAACATAGCCAGAAGTTGTCTTGGAAAGAATATAGATTATTCAACACCATGTTCAGCTTCCCTTTTCAGAGTAGTAACATTCAGCGAAGTGAGCAAGAGAGCAATAATTAACAATGTCCAATGTTAACAGATTAATTCTGGATGGAAGTGGAGCAGGTATGTTCATCCTTGTGTAACCCATACACCTCCTGGGTGTGGTGTTCTGTCCCATCTAGTGGCACTGAGCCCACTTAGAGAGAGAGATAAAACGAGTCTGCTCTACAGCTTTAGTTAACAGCCACTTGGCTTTTGGCTCAGGCACTAAGCTCCAGAGGTCCCAGGTTCAATCCTGCCCAACGACCAGGGGCTATCGGCATTACACTTGCATCAGAACAGCAGGTGTGGGCAGAGGAGGAAGGTGGAGAGAAGAAAGGGGAGGGGGTGTTTGAATTAAAAATGTAATAATTAAGAAATGTTATGCACTGATACATGTTAACTGGAGATGACCTAACTAATCTGGAAAAGTTCAGGTACTTCACATCTCAAAAGGGAATGCCAGCATGAAAACCTCAGGGAAGGCAGATAGCTTACTATAGCCCCAACTCAACAAAGCATACATGCTTAAATCCTATTGAAGTCAGCTGGATTCCAGCACATGGTTAAGTGCTTTGCTGAATTGGGATGGTTTGCTGAATCCCTATGATAGCATCACCGCCTCTTGCTCGTTAGACTACGCATCGAGAGTGACGGGGCAAGTAAAATTTACATTTTAGAGCATCAGAAAATAAAGTGTCAGTAGGAGATCTGTCTTTGTGATCTGTTTTTAAGTTCTCTGGAACAGACTCTCGGCAAGTGTGGAAAAACTATATGTTCTACATGGTGCAAAGTGAACCTAAAGTGACCAAAGATTGTCAAGAGAGAATACTCCTGTGTAGGGGGAATCTCTGCCAGCATAACTCCAGGACCAACCAGCTGAGAATCAGTCACAGCCGACCCCCTGACTGCAGCTCCTTCTCTCCACTGTGCCCAAGCACAGTGAGTGCTTTAGTTCTCTGTGTTAAAAATGTAGGCTGATAATGTGTAAAGCAGGGTATTTGGCATGGTCAGCCTGAAAGCTGTCAAAGATATAAGCATTCAAATTTTGACTCTGCCATAACTTTACCCATCTCTCAATTTTTTCTAACAAAAACATAGGAAACTACATGAAACTTGAAAATTCATTGCCCATAAAACAAATACAGCGTCTCAAAAATTTCTCATCTGCTTTACAACAAGTCAGAGAGCAAAACTGATAAATGAAGTGCTCCATGGTATGCTGGCAGTATCCATAATCCAATGCAGAGACATGCAGCATACTGGGGAAAGGTACAAGGAAAGAAAGCAGTCCTGTTCTGAGTCTCCTGCCATCAACTTCCTTTGTTAAGACTCATTAAATATTCAATCCTGATATTGCAAAATACCTTTTAAACTCAGTGGTGAGGTATCACTGATGGGGGAGACAACAGAGGACTTGTACTCCTCCATGACACAAATACAAGGCATCAAATATGCACTCCTTACAGTGAGTGGATCTTGGCCAGACATTAGACCATTCAATCCTACACTCGCTACAGTTTCTATGCATTGACCCTCTGTTCCAGTAAACTGTGTGAATGAGGAATATTCACTTTGAGCCTAATCTGAACCCCATCAGGAGTAGATGGGAGTCTTTCCATTGACTTCCATGAGCTTTATCATAGAATCATTGAAGATTAGGGTTGGAAGAGACCTGTGGAGGTCATCTAGTCCAATCCCCTGCTCAAAGCAGGACCAACACCAACAAAATCATCCCAGTTAGGGCTTTGTCAAACTGGGCCTTAAAAACCTCTAAGGAGATTCCACCACCTCCCTAGGTAATCCATTCCAGTGCTTCACCACCCTCCTAGTGAAATAATTTTTCCTAATATCCAACCTAGACCTCCCCCACTGCAACTTGAGACCATTGCTCCTTGCTCTGTCATCTGCCACCACTGAGAACAGCCGAGCTCCATCCTCTTTGGAACCCCCATTCAGGTAGTTGAAGGCTGCAATCAAATCCCCCCTCACTCTTCTCTTCTGATGACTAAATAAGCCCAGTTCCCTCAGCCTCTCCGCATAAGTCATGTGTCTCAGACCCCTAATCATTCTCGTTGCCCTCCGCTGGACTCTCTCCAATTTGTCCACATCCTTTCTGTAGTGGAGGGCCCAAAACTGGACACAATACTCCAGATGTGGCCTCATCGGTTCCGAATAGAGGGGAATAATCACTTCCCTCAATCTGCTGGCAATGCACCTACTAATACAGCCCAATATGCCCTTAGCCTTATTGGCAACAAGGGCACATTTAGATACCGGCCTTTCTTGTTTACAACAATGTACTTAGGAATGACAGTTCCATCAACTGAAATCACAAGAAATGATTGTCACCTATTATCCTATTCCATCTCTCTACAACTCTGCCTATATTAGCTTCATTACCATTGCATCTGAACACCTGCCAGTAACACTGATGTTACAATACAAGATTCCTGCCCCCTTGCATACAAAAAACAAATACAAAAAATTAAAACATTATCAATGGTCCAAGATGACTGAGATAAGTTTAGGTATAATCCATTACTGGTTTCTTGCACACTTTATTTTATCCACTTTTTTTTTCTGATAGTATCAATTGATTTTATGTAGTCCTGGGGTCACTGATTTACTACTGCTCATGCTGGCAAAGGTTTCTATCCTGTTAATATTTTTCTCTATTGTTGCAAAAGTAAAAGTAAAACTAAAAGAAATGTAAATGCAACTCGAGTAAAACATGCTCCTATTGTGATGATTTTAGAGAGCAAACTTCTTAGCGCAGTGTGATAATCAGTGCTTGTGGGATTGGGGCCTAAACTTGGATGGTAGAGCAACTCTTAATTAGATGGGGAGGGATAGCTCAGTGGTTTGAGCATTGGCCTGCTAAACCCAGGGTTGTGAGTTCAATTCTTAATTAATAGTTAATGTTGAATGAAAGAAAGAAAACATGCTCCTTGGCTGATGTACCTTGTCATGTCTCAAGTGAAGTCAATGGAGCTGTGACAATTTACACTTGCTGATGATCTGGCCCAAAGAAACAAAGCAAAAACAATGACAGGAACTCCATAGAATATCAGGGTTGGAAGGGACCTCAGGAGGTCATGTAATCCAACCCCCTGCTCAAGGTAGGACCAATCCTCAGACAGATTTTTGCCCTAGATCCCTAACTAGCACCCTCAAGGATTGAGCTCATAACCCTGGGTTTAGTAGGCCAATGCTCAAACCACTGAGCTATCCCCCATATCTGGATACTGGGTGGGCTTTTTTATTCTCCCATCCCTTTCTTCTCTTCCTCTTGGATATACATCTAAGCAGTAGCTTTCACAGATGCCAATAGGCTGACAGAGCCCAGTTAACTTATTAGGTTCACTGACATTCATTTTCAGGCAACAATGCCAGGATATTTGGCAGGTACAGACTGCTGTAAAATTCTTTCAGTTTTTAGTTTACAAAATTTTTAAGCACATTTTAAAAAATATATAAGTTGAGTAAAAGCTCTGAATTTACAGTTAGAAGAATTTTGTAATGTTCTAAAAATATATTATCAAAAGTGAAAAGGGGGGAAATAACACAAGAGCAGAAAGAAGCTGAGAAGTGGAAGCGCTGAGGAGCAAGGATTAAAAGCCAGCCTTTCCCCAGAGGTTTTACAAAATCTAAGGGCAGTTTGGAAGCAAAGCACAACATACATTGCACTCGTTTTGGTGTGAGGAGGATGGTAGCGTAACATTCACTGTCATTTGGAGACAGTCTCACAGTCATCTGGATTTGGCACAATTTCTATCTGCAAAACTCATTTTGCAACAAAACATTTCTTCCAGAAAGTCTACTTTTCTGACTTAACATTAGTTTCTACATTGCTAATAAGTCTCCTACTATTAGATTGCTCATGATAAGGAACATGTTTTACTCCATGAGTTTGCTCCAGTAATGCCTTCTCAGGAAAAGCTATCATTCAGGTCAATGAGAATTTTTCCTGAGGTAGCGTACTGTGGGTATTTGGCAGCGCTATATAAATTGTTCATTATTATAATCTTGCTCCACTGCTCAGAAAGATGGTCCTGTACTGCCCTCACTAGTTTACCTTGATTAACATCTAAGAAAGATATCTCATGTTCAGTGCTTTGTGCCGGGTTAACGGGGAGGAGGCTGATGGCAGGGCATTCTTTGTGGTGGTCCCTCAAACTTTGGAACCCACTTCCCCACCCTTGGTCCATAATGGTCTGAGACAGCCCAAACATGTTGACTTTCATGGCCAGCTAAAAGGCCCACCTGATTTCCCTGGCTTTTGAGAAGGATGAGGGTTCCTAAGGGAGGGGAATGATTGAAGGCAATGTGGGGTATTGGGTTTTGTTTGAAGACTGCTGGTTTTTAAATTACAGGTAAAGCTGCTTGGATTTGCATTAGTTCTGTAATTCTAAGTAATGGCAGGGCACCCATAACCAGGGGTGGGCATTTTTAAATTGTATTTTATAAATCAAACTAAATAATCAGAAGGACTTAGCTATGCACTTACTATAGGTTGACTTAAGGGAGGTGGTCCAGTTTAATATCCATGCCGCTCAGGAAAGTTAACCTTATGGGGTTTACAAAAACTGAGCATGCACATTTTAAACCTAACCCAAAAAGAATAATCACAAAAGAGAATCACCGCTATAGTCACATTTATGGGTCCTTATTTACAGGTTAGACAAATTTTCACGGGGTGTCTAACAGATACACTGGTGAGCCCTCCAGCGGGAAAAACTGGGTTGGGTTGGGAGGGGGGGGTAGGGAGGGTGTCACAAATAGGAGGTGTGCTATTAATCCAAACGGAAGACTGAAATTTTCCCACAAATAATAACAACGTGATATGTGGAACATTTTCCATTTCCACCTTCACCTAGAAGATAAATCCAAGTCAATTTGCTATCTTTAAAGTTATGTGACAAGCCCCAGATTCATCTTGCAACCTCACCTGCATATTCAAGTGCCACCTTCCCTGACCACCTTCACTTCTATATGCTCCCACTGTCAGTTCGCCTGGATGCTAATCTGTGAAAAAATATTTATACTAAGCAACAAAGACCCACTCTTATATCCTCCCTCTCCTGACTAAAAGAGCTTTTGTTTCTCTTGATTTTTTTATTAGTGTTTTTAGAGCTAATAAAAATTATAGTATTTACAGCAGGTGGGACCAGTTATGTCAGACTAAATGTAGTGGTGTTGGATGAAACAAGTCTACTACTAGAAATATTACTGTTAATTATTGCCAGTGGGGATAGGTAACACTCTGATTTTCAAAAACAACCATCTGTCTGCACCACACTCCATGTATATGCACTTTCCCTGAAATGTGTTCCATGGAAAGGACATCCCAGACTTTCAGGAAGTACTTATCTGTTTATAAAGATTATTGGAAGAGCATATTTACTGAAGAATAAAAGCGAACTATTAATTCAGTATCACTCAGCCATTTGCAAGAGACATGTTTGAAAGACGGCAACAGAGGGCCAGATTCTACTGTTGGATATTCATGAACAGCACACATTCACTTAAATGGCCATGCAATTAAAAGATTTTTTGCATAGTATTTTCATATCATTCAAGAAATGCCCACTAAAGAGATCAAAGATTTCTATCTTAAATTCCTATAAAACTGTAGAAATTGATGTCATCGATTTATTTAAAATTGAAGTTCCAAGATTAGGAAAGAGGTTAAATCAAATTAATTTACTCTTATTCCCCGTTTTTTTCTCAGAATTCCTTCCAAAAATGTATAGAGGTGATACATGTTGTAAAAGATCCGTGTCAGTGTTTTCCTGGCATTTACAAATGATATCCGTCAATGTTGGTATTGAAAGACTGACTTTATTTTGTTGTTTGTACCTATGATTGAATTGACTCATTTTGTGAGATTATAGAAAATGTATTATATGATCGTATGTGCCTGATGTCCCCTAGAGACCCTATGGAAATGAGATGATGCATTTCATAAGGTTGTCTTGTCAAGATAGATTGTACTAGCTAAATAAATAAACTGCAGTATGTGATTTCACTGTGCACTGTTGACTTCTGCTTACATGATTTAAAGGATGTTACTATGAATATCCTAGGTTGCTAATGTAAATGATGGAGAAATCATAGGTCAATCACATAATAATAAATATTAGCATAGGTTTCTCAAGGCCAGAAATGGCTGAAATTGTAATTGTAATTATAATTTTTCTCTTGAATTACTGGATGTTGAAAACACTCAGGACCCTGCCTTCCTGGAACTGCTCCATTAAAGCCAGGCAGTCTCAAGTTCTGATTTTTTTATTGTTCTAGAAGTCACATTACCATGTTATAACTGGTATTTTCATATCTTTGTACACTTGAACATTATGTTGTATTAATTCATATTGTGTATTGACTTGTAGAGGACTGATACATAGCAACTGCCATACTGGATCAGACCAGAGGTCCACCTATTCAGCATCCCATCTCCCACAGTAGCCAAAAGTGCAACGGGAGGTGCACTTTATAGTGCCTCATAATTCTCTGTTGCTAGAACAAAGAGTATTTAACATAATAGTCAATTGTAAGCTGCTTTCACTTCAACCAGCAAAATAAAGTGCTCTCAAAATGCACTCCTGTGATCACTGATGCGTTATATTTGATGGAAGGCTGGTCAAAACAAGATGGGGCAAACGGATACTCTAACCGTCACTTATGGCACTATTTATCCCACTGCTGAATTGTCCTGGACATGCAGGAAGAAAGACGACACAAGGGATGTGGTTTAACTGGCCACAATCTTATTAATTTAACTCTACTGTGAACTAGCAATAACTTGTATGATACGGGTCACTCTTTCTTCATTCAATAATACACTCTGCCTGATGGATGGCTGCCGTCAGCCCCCTACCCCTCCCATCCCTGTGGCCAGAATATTGTTGGGACCCCACCAACCATAGTATGATGATTAAAGGGCTGGAGACATAAAAAAACCCCAACCTCTTTCCCCAGCTTTCCCTAAATTCACTTCCTAATCTGGTTTATCAGGGAAGAGGCCACTATTGAACAACTGCCTGCACTGTATTGCATCTGTACTGTACCTGCACTGCCAAGTTGAGACAACTTGGATGTAATCCTCCTGTTGAACCCCCATGTCTCTGTGCTGCTGTGGGTCAGGCAAAAAAACCCACCTTACAGGGAGGGAAAAATTCCTTCCCAGTCCCCAAAAGGCAACTAGCACTATGCCTGCAACGGATCCAACTACCCTAATTGCATGGATGAGAGCTGCTGGTCCAGTGTGTAATGGCACATAGATCTTAGAATAAGGTTTATATGTCCTCCCCACTGGTGCGCAGAACTCAGTGGGTTTCATCAGAACTTCTGCCAACTACCATCCCCCAAACTATGAGACGCGGGCTCTCAAGAGGGAAGTGAAGTAAGCTTCACTTAAAGGGGCTCCAGCTCTTCCCCCCAGAAGATCCCCACAATGATCCCCACCTCTGAAGCTGTGGAGGTGAATTTGCCCCAGAAACTTTCATGGGAGTTGCACCTTTTTATTTCAGGTCTCAGTTTTGGGAAGTCAAAGGTTATCATATGAACAATGTTTTTCATAGTATTAGGGCAACTGGTGTATTACCAAAACAGGGCTGCCTGCTAGGCAATGAACAAAGCAGACTTGTGAAATCATAGTCTCTGGTTACTATAATGCTTACAGAAAAACCATCCTCCTCAGAAGTGGTAAATCCAAGGGTGTTGTAACAACCCTGGAATTGCCTATTCAAAGACATTAACATCTTCTTGGGAACTGATGCCTTTTGGAGACGCACTTTGCTGAAAACACTGTTTATAAAAGACTTTCCACTATAATCTTATCTGAACATTTTCTATGTTTTCCTAATATGTAATGCCTGTATCTACTCACTGATGGGTAGTTTATAGATGAACAGGCACATTTTCTCTGTTGGCTGATTCTGTGCCTCTACACAAAGGAACCCAAATAGTCAGTGAGCATTTTAACACAGTGAGGAAAAAAACAAGCGAACAAAAAAAGCAGGTCATAAATTATATAATCGTGTAAGGATGCAAATGCAATGACTATGCAAAACTAGAAATAAAAGTGCAGGAAGGAAATAGCATTTATTTCATTAAGAACCAGACCCTGCAAACCATCCAAGCATTGAACTCAGTGGGATTGTGCTGTGTATATTCTATGAAATATACTTGTACATTATGTTCATATAAGGTATATGTTGTATAAATATGTTCCATCAAGTGTAGACACAGCAATAATTGATGAAGTTACTTAATCAGATAGCATGATGTCTTTTTTTCAGCCTTGTTCCAAAATGGTTTAATTAAAGGATACTCAAAAAGAACAGATAAGTGTCCCTTTGACACACTTACATGAGCAGCAAGTATCAGAATCTTGTAAATCAGGTCTGTTCATTCTCACTGGGATCCAAGTTGTTCTGTGTAAAAGAAGAAAGATTACTACATTATAACCATGGCTTTAAAAACTCCATACTACCTTCCACACTCTTCCAAAACACTGCCCTCCAATACTTTCAGTATGTCTTTTTTCTAGCGTCATTCAAGATCAACAGGGTTTTTTTATGACACAGTCTATTTAAGACTTGCATAGGGCTGAGGTGTGTACATTTTCCTCAAAAGTTTTACAAATTTCATCCAGGTCTGGTGGCCCATAATGATGACCTGAGTACATTCATTAGATTGAAGAAGAATCTCTGATGGAATATCCTAGATAGTGTGCCTGTCCTGTCAAAGGTTCCCTGATAACTATGTCCATTTTTTCTAAGATTCAAGCCATGTGTGGATCGACTACATAATCCTTGCACTGAAGCCTTGGGAAACACTGCTGTTGATGCTCCTGGCAACCTCTTAATCTAAATAAGAATACAAAAGGGTACTAAGTTAATGTGTAACACAGGTATGTAAACAGAAAACTCTGTAATTGTAGTTTGCTCATTTAGGGCCTGATATAAGGACTACTGAAGATAATTGAAGTATTTCCATTGATTTTAAATGGGCCTTACATCAATCCCATATTCCTCTCTCTAATACATGTTTGTTTCCATGCAGTATAGTACTGACATAGATCATGAGTTGTGTGAATTATAGTATGTACAGGATCCACCACTTATTATACACATGCCAGACACTATGAAATCAATGCAACTTAGCAACATAAGTAAAAATTCAAAAAATATTAGGTCCTAAATCATTACCTGCTTTAAAGTCGGTCAGGTCAAAAAGTGATGCAGCCTTCCTGTTTATCATATTCTAATATAACATCATTGTATTTTAAATATCATGACACCCAAATGGAATTTTTCATAATTTTCTCATCTCCGCTTGCAGTAATTCAACAAAAATGATATGGAAATGCCTTGAAACCTCTTAAAGAAGCAGCATTTTTTCCTAATTTGAACAGATGAAGAAATATTTCAACCCGAGCTCAGCAAGGGATAACAGTATTACAGTCACTGCATGGGGAATTTTGCCACTCATAATTCTAAATCCTTCGCAAACACTTTATTGCTATAAGGTAGCTAACACCAGCCTCTACACAACAGGACATCCATAGCATTAACCATGAGAGATAGGCTTGCAGAAAGAAACTATAGCAAAGTAATTGTAAATCTCTAATGATGCATAAAACCAAGCTGAATTGGTCCTGAATTCTCAGCATAAAAGAAATGAAGCATCGGAAGAACCAATTCTGGTGGCAGTATAACATACTGTAGTGTGGAAACTGTTTATGGTATTTGCTGCAATGAAAATATTTCTACTAAAATGCATCATGCAAGTGATAGGAATACATTAAAAAGGCCTGAATGATGCAACTTCTAATGACATCTTGTGTGATAATAGGAGCAAAGAATTAACCAAAAGAAAATCTGATCTGGCCTACACAATTTGCCATCATATTTCCTAGTCACAGCCTGTATCCGGCAGAATTGGTTAGAATTTTTTTTTAATTGCTACTATTGTTAAATGATCTTCCTAGGAATACTTGCTCTCTGCTTTTCTATTGTGCAATGAGGTCTTTCGTTCTTCTTTCTCATATCCCAATGATGTTTGCTTTTATCGATTTTATGACTTCAATATAAGTATCGATGTATGGATCAGATGACAGTGTTCTTGTATTGTGACTTGCAACAAATAGTTGGGCTGTTCTTTTAGCCATTTTCTGTTTTTTGTCCTGTGCTACCCTGGGTTGTGAGCATTGGTCATGCTGACACATGATTCTGTGCTCAGTTTCCTGATTTATTCTGCTTTGTTTGGCAGAAGAATTTTGCAGCAGTGCATTTGGGGTGCCGTCCCTTGTGCCCTATAGCTGCAGTACCCCCTCCACTTTGTCTGGGATGCCCTAGAGTAATAGAGGTACGTTCAGACTCCCCACTACCCTAGACACTAGCTCAATACCTTCTCGGCTTGGTAAGACCTGCCAGAGCATATGCTCTGCTGTACTTTGCTGTCAAACCCCGTTCATCCCCACACCAACACTCAGCTAGGGACGTAGGATTTTGTGTAAAAGAATACTCCATGATCCAAATACCAAATGAGGAGATCAGAAGGTGTACAGAGGTGACCGATATAGTGCAGGCGATGTATGATGCAAAGCGAAGATGCGTGGGTCATGTAGTCCACAGGCAAGATAATAGGTGGGCAATCTGCATCAGTGACACGATCCCGAGAGACCACAAGTGACTGCTGGGTAGACCGAAAGCATGCTGCGCCGATCCCATGACAAAACTCTTTGGCCAGAAACGGAAAGAACGTGCTCACAACAAAACGGAATGGTGTGGCATCGATTTGTGTTTGTGGAGGGACGGCCGGATGAGACCAACCCGGACAAAGGTGGCAAAGGTGACTAAGACACCTTCTTTGTGATGTCAGATATCTCAGTAGAAGTTTTTATATTACATTGGGCTAGATCATGGCATTTATTCCACAGCCCTGCATAGAAAGCAGCATGGAGCTATGACATCCCAAGAGGGCACTAGGAGAGATTGTACTGCAGGCAAGTGCATTCTCTCCTGAGGCTGTTTACTCTGCACCATCCATCAGACTGACACATCTCCCCACAGTGCACTGGCCCTCTCTGCAGGCTAGTATAGAGGCCCAGCATCCTACCGCCACACAGTCGCTTTGGCACAATTTGCCTGGCAGTGTGAAGAAGCAGGAGCGATGTGTGCCTGTGCTCCCCACAAAAAAGAGAAACTGCTATTGCGGGAGGCCCTTGCACGGCTGCATAAACATGGGTCTGGGCTCTCATTGCTGGGCTCTTCCCACCCATATACCCGCATGATGCCCACACAAGTGCCATCATTATCTAGATGATAAAATATAATGCCGGTCTCACAGTTGTATGTGAATTTATTTTGACTGTTACAGTGCCTGCCCTGAGTTCTAAGCACTTTGCATTGTACAAACACCTAGTAAAACATTTTAAAACTGCATTTTAAAATACCATATTACGAATTACTGGCCTCAACAAACTATCAAAACCAACTTGTCTTATCCCAGCGACCTCACCACAAACCCACTGGGGCCTTCCTCCATCGATCCACCACTATTCTGAAAGTCTGTATGGAAAGATGAGCTTTGCAGCAAGTGTTAATGCTGGTGAAGGATGCCAGACTGATTATCCTGAAACTGAAAGTCCTCTACTCATCTACAGAGTGGGAACAGCAAAAGAAGTAGCAATGCAAGTTTCCCCACATGGCCTCACCTATATGCTTCAGCATGGCCATGGACAGAACAACTTTTGAGATGAAAGGGTTGTTTTGTTTCTTTGCATCTCAAATACAAGCCTTTCTACAGACGCTGCCACGTGGTACCAAATGGGACCATGGTTTTGGCACCTGTTCACTGAGAGCTAGAATAGACACCACCAAAACTCTTGCTCTTTTTTATTTTTTAAATAATTTCACAAATCTCAGAGCCAGACATCTGAAAAGTAGGATATATCAACACAGTGTCAAAATCTATAAATGCACAGACTTGAAATCTGTATGTGCAGATAAAAAATGGGGTATTTGCAATTAAATAATCATCTTGATGGAATGCATAAGAGAACCACATTTATCCATAATATGTTGGTGGCACTGTATACCAGTTTCAGTATATGATCTCTCATGCACTCTTT